AATTTGCAAGCTTTCGTCAATGAAACAACTGGAAGGCCATTCTAAAATAGAAATTGCAAAGCTATCTAAAATACCAAGATATTTTTATTAAATCATATATTTCCTGTTGTATTTCTATCAAGAATACATAGATGTATCGACATACATTTCTTGAAATCATCTGAATGATATTACAAAATAGTACAAAGTGAAATTGTCAATTGCGATTATTTCAATATAATGAATCTGATATACCTTCATATAATTTTCAATACATGATTAGTCGAATGCTATTTCATCAATTTATGTTCAATATTTGTTGACAAGTTTCTCAATTTCAACAATAGTTCGAGCCTGGGTATGGACATTTTCTTGATACTTATGATTCGATCTCTCTCGGCAATGATCGTGTTGTATCCGTTATCGTTGTGTCGTTCGAAATGACTACCTAGTTAGGGAGTTACTAGGCGAGAGCTGAAGTTTCCATTTAGATCCACAATTGGTGAAGGTGATGAAACGATGATGGAACTTGAAGAAACTCATTTCATTAGGTTCTTAGTAATCGAACTATGAGAAGGCTGTATGCAGATGGTAGGGTTTCAGTTATTTCGGAAATTTCGATAGGAACCCTACACTCGTTGGATTAACATATTTTCGGGTCCTTTATTTTCTAGATGTGGAGGTCTACATCAAATATCAAATTCAAAATAGTCCTATGCCGACTGTTGGGGCCGAGAAAAACAGTTTCTTTCCGAGGTGATGAAAAATAATGTTGGCAGAATAGTGTTACTACTCACTAGTATAATTAGATATAATATTTTCTTGTTCATTTACAGGACCGGTTTTGTGTATATTCAGATTGCTTCCGAAATACGAAAAACTTGCTAGATGTGGAGATCGACATAAAATATCAGACTCAAAAGATTTGTACCTATGTCAACTCTATGGGCAAAATGAGTTTCTTTCCGAGGCAATAAGAAATGATAATGTTGGCACAATGGTGTTACTAGTATGATTCGATATAATATCTTCTCTATCAATCACAGAACAAGTTTTGTGGATATTCAGAGTCATTCCAGATAAAAGAAGCTTGGGCTAAGGATAATCACAGACTATTTATCCTAACCGTTTTGATGTGAGTTATACATATATGATAATGTATACTATTATCATGCGATAAAGACATTTTTCCGATTAAAACAGTTTCAAACAATGATCAACTATTGAAAATCAAATATTGATAGAAATTCACTGACATGTAGAACGAGCAACAATAAGTTATTGCATCAATAAAGTTATCAGAACTTGTAAGGCTATCAACAGAATATAACTGAAAATACAATAAGTTAATGGAATCAACAAGATAATGACAGCTATTGCACCATACAGATATTGCCTAACGACGCTAAGCTATTTGACGGTATTTTGATATCAGCTATTAACTCTATCAGGAGAATGTTGTTGAGAATACAGAAGGGTATTGAACATAATTCGCACGTTGAGAACAATAGTGTGACAACTCAAAAAAGTTGATTTTTGAGTTAGAACCACCGTCGAATAGCAAATTTCGTGCTCTACACTTCTAGATTATCGTGACATATCTAGGTCCAATAGCTGTTGCGTGACATCGCTGGTCACGTTATTGCACTAGAGGAGAAGGAGGAACTACAGCCGAGCAAGAAAGTGACTTTCTGCGTTGTCACCTATACTTCGCAGGATACGCCTCGTATTCTGACTTTGAGAACATTTTTATGATGAATAATGTGACAAGTCATAAAGTCACCTTATTGATTGAACACAATTTGAAATTTTTTGAGTTGTCACGCTATTACATTTTTATCATTAAATGAAATAACGAATCAAATGCAACAAATTTTTGAATTGTAACGATAACAATATGGAATATTTCGATTTATCACATTATTGCATGCGTTTCACCTAATGGAATGGAGTAGATAATACGAGTTTTTGTAGAGAGATTGAAATAATAGCAACAAGGTGATAGCCCTTGAAAATTAAAAGGAGAAATACAAAACTAGAATGAAATTTCTGAATCTATGTATAATTTAAATATTTCTCTTTGCATGGAAGATCAAGCTCCACCTCATGTTTAAATTCCAATTTTGAAAAATATATTATAAGTAATTCCTTCGGATTGAACATTTGGAAAGGAGAGTGTTTGAAAGAATTCCTAGGAATAGCTTCAAATTTAAATTTCATTCATTATAGGTATTTCCTTCTTTCAGAAAATTTAACTACACCTCAGTTGTGCCAGTCACTTCTCTTTCCAAACTATGGCATTTCAACTTCATGCCAATTTTCAATGAATCTTAATGCTATTCACCTCAACATTTTTCTTCTGCAAATACCCGTTTGTGTCTATTCAGAAACTAAAGAACATAGAAAAACTGCCAAAAGAGGAATGTTCAGCAACCGATGGGCACGATTTGGATTTTGCTAAAATGGTAGGAACTCAGAGCACATCTTCAATCCAGTCATGAATATAATGGGGTCTACAAATGAATGAAAATACCTGTAATACATGTTATACGGCAATTTTTGGAAATGTAACATCTCAGAAAATTGGTGCTCTTCAGGCGTGACATCACTTAAAAATGTCGAATATGATGGATCAAAACTGTGACATGTCGCAACTATTTCTTGAGAAATTGGAAAAAAATATTCGAAAATATTATAACTAGGAATTTCTCAGGTAAGCTCATGACATAATGATACAATTTGAACTAGATATACTTTTCGCGGTGAATGAGGTTCACCAGAGACGAATCCATCATCATCAAGAAGTGAAAATCTTCAAAGTCGATTTTCTCAAAACGAAAAATTTTGAATCACACTATTGTTCTCAACGTGCGATATCAACAATGTCAAAGATGACTTAGTTGACTAGAAAAGCTTCTGTTAATTCAACTGAGAAATAGTTGTAGACCTACTGGGACTACAAATTCTTGTTGGTTCAACAATTAATTTCCAACAGTCTATGATATCCATTCTTAATATTTAGTTTTTTGTTAGTTTTCACGATTTGATTTTCCCATTATGTGAAATAGAATATCTTTCATAAATTTTCGAGGTGAGAATATGAATGAAAATAAACTCAATTCCAAAAATTCAATTTTCGTAGCCTGTAAACCCATCAGTAGCTACCCCAGTGATTCACCGCACATGCTTGTTTTTTTGCAGTGTCGTTTTGCATTCTGGTAAACTGGGCGTATTATATAGTGCATAATGTTAATATCATGAATATATGTATTTATTTATGAAATGAGATACTATTGGTACTAATGAGAGTTTCGCTGCTAGAGTCGAGACAATGAATAATGGCCGGTTTCCTGGTTCTCTCTATCACGTGACACATACAGTTTTAGTGAGCTGTTCTGTTAGCAGGATTTATTATGCAGCCGTATCCGATGGAGCTTAACATTTAAGTTGAAAGATGAAGAATTGGCTGGTACATAATTATCAATATAACTCGGCAAGGGCAAAGAATACTTTTTCATTTATTTATATGAAAATAGAAATGCCTGCTATGAAATTTGTAGTTCTTGAGAAAACAACTCTGTGATTGACAATCATGCTACATTCAGTGGTAAGTACTTTTTCTTTGTACGAAATAATAAACCATTTTTATGATAACCTTCATGTGAGACCATCACCCTTACTACTAACAATGAACAAATAAATGTAATGCATCAAAAATATAAACAACTGGATCATGCTATTGATGGTGTGCTAGAACAGAAAACTGTTTCATCATCTCATCATCATTCAGAGTTCTGGAAATACAAGATGTCGTGTGTTTTATACAGGGTGTAGATGAAATCGAGTGCGACAAAATTAGAAAGTTCTGAATTGACTCGGTCGTTACTTGATAGAAATCCAGGAGAAAGCCAACATTTTTTGCTCATTTATTTGCTGGAAATTCCACTCTGGATTCTTCGAGAAAACAACCTCCAAACATAACGCCAACGTACTATGAGAAAGATTGTATTGTGCCTCAACACCAACAAAGCTTGTAGCTCCGACGGAAACCCACCGATTGTTCTCAAGAAATGTGCTCCCGAACTAACACCTGTTCTCTGCAAGTTGATCAACTACTCTTACAAATTGAGGATATTCCCGTCCAACTGGAAAATTGCAAGAGAACAACCAGTTTCTAAAAAAGGCAAAAAGACCCTACCTAAAAACAACAAACCGATCGCACTGCTATCTATTATTTCAAGGATCATGAAGAAAGCTATCAACATCGAGCTATTGAAATACCTGGAACATTCAATATTATCAACGATAGGCAATATGGCTTTCGTCATCAGAGATCAACTGGTGACCTGCTCACTTACGTCTCACATATATGGCAGCAATCTATTGAAAAATATTGTGAAACCTTAGCCGTGACACTCGATATCTCCAAGCTTCCATCTCATGGCTTGCCTTCCCAGCTATGTTCTCTGCTAGCTAGTTTTCTCTCAAACAGGTCTCTCCATGTAGTGGTCGACAGAGTTTCATCTGACTCTCTTATCATGAATGCTGGTGTTCCGTATGGATCAATTCAACATTATTTTAACTCCATATCAACGATTTGTTGGAAGCAACTTCATGTCCAGTACACAGGTACGCGGATGATAGTACCCTCCAAATAGTCCGGCGGGTAAGAGAATCCACCTTGCATTTCATGTTCAAAAGGTGACACGTGGCTTAAATTGTTCCTTAGACCCTATTCTTCGATATGAGAAATGTTGCCACGGTCCCACCCCCTGCAGACCCCTTATATATGCATGTTTGCCTACCTTCAGGGGCAAAACGCCCTTTTCCTCATTTCTCGCTTAATAAACGTCGTAGATGTCTACTTTTTTCACACATTTGAAGTGTTTTGAGTGCCCAAGGCTGACAAACGATAATAAAAGGCCCACGGCCACACATTTCAAAATGGCGGCGTCCGAAATCGAAAAATTTGAACATTTTCAAAGAAACAAAAAAGAGGTAACATAGTATCGTGACGGGTGTCGTTTCATATGTTTTCGTTTTTTAGGCATTTGCAGTGGGCCGGTACGCATCCCTTTTGACAGAAACATTCAATTAGTGCCTCACAAGCTTCAGATGCAACAGGAATCGTGCGCCACACAGGTTCCCAACCCTCTTCACATTTTTTCCAGCCAAAGTCTGCTGGGTCGGGAAAGTTTTGTTCACGCTCCAGAGATTGTCTCCACACTCGACTCTGAATGAAAGCTCTCTCAGCGTGTTGCTCCAGAGCGTCTCTTGTTGGTGGAATGGATTCCAGCTGACGGTCGCTCTTTGTGAACAACACCCTCCGGCACTCGTTCACAGTCTCGCAAGACGCAGTCCTGGAATTAGAATACGTAAATTAATATTACTTTCGTATATTATACGTCGTTTTTCTATATTTTACGTTCGAGGAGAGTTTTGTTATTTTACCCGGTGTAGGTTGAAACAACAAATACTTTCAAATCGCCCATAGCCTGAACAACTGTCCCGTCTTGAAGAGCTTCAAATCCATCTGTTGCTCCAGGATATTTCAGCCAAGCGTTTACGGCTGTGAGTTTTCCGATTCCTTTGAAATAGGACACTGTGTCGCAGCCGGAAAAAGCATAGAAACCCAGCAACGATTCTGACTTTTCAGGACCTAAGTACATAATCAAGCCAGCAAGAGCAATACCGTGAGCTCGAGCACGATCTGAGCCTGAAAATGGGATAAAAAGATGTGCCATTTAAGTAAGTTCATGCACACATGCTTGAATCGAGTGTATGATCCCACTCGATACACTCAATTCGATCACTACCATGTATCAACTCTGAAAGTGGAAACCTGCTTAGGGTTTTGGGCGCCTAGACCGGTCTTCTGACCCACTGTGGTGGGCAAGCGACGTGTGCGTGCAAGGCGTATCTCTATGGCAATGTCTATGCAGATACGCCTTTGTTGCGCGTACAGATCGACGAGTTCATCAAGAAGTAGAAGAGCCACCAATGATGCGGCTTTTAGAGGGAGAGAGAGAGAGAGGAAAAGACAGGGAGATGGGCTATAGATTACCTGTTTTATCCAATGAAGTGGCTCTCTTAACTCTGTTAATGTACTTTGCTCTGCACCTATTGTGGTACAAGGCCTCCAGTGCTACAAGATCGCCAGCCCCCGCAATCTTGGCCAGCATTTGCGTGTCCTTCATTCTTTTTGCTGCCTCAAAAATGTCTTCACTGCAGTGCATTGTGCACACTTTGCTCAGACCATTGCTTCGGGTCCCAGCGAGAGAGCAAAATAAGCACGCATCTGGGCAGAAGGACTCTTTACTTCTTCGGGTCTTTACGGGTGAGGTGGTTGGAATTGGATCCGTGCTTGGCCGTTTCTTGGCCCGCTCTAGTTTGCTGGTGCTGAATTTCAGGTAGCACGATTTATGCCACTTTGCTTCCCGGGCAATCAAGGTTTCCTTTAGGCCGGCACCTACATCCAGCGCTGAAACATTCACCCCTAACGGCACTTGCCCAAGCTTTTGAAACTCCTCCAAATTTTCAGCCAATTTAGAATATCCGACACTTTTGTCCGCTTTCAGGCTCCTTCCTGGATGCGTCAGGTCCTCACTCGTCTCTTCTTGACATAGCACACACGCATCCCAGTCGGTCTGCCAATCTCTCGGCAAGCTCTCGTTATGGACGCTAACATTACACAATTTGAAGCTCTTCATTTCGGAAGAAATCTGCAAAGTATGCACACGTCAAAACTACCTCGCCGTGGAACTGCGACAAACGCGGTTACAGAAGGTAAAATCGAATTAAACTCACCAAAACGTGGAACGCCTGCACAAATATAACACTAAGATGCACCTGTTTGTTTACGTCGAAGCGGGAAATACAATCGGCAAGCCACCGCCTGCTACAACAAGTCACAACAGCTCCGCCAAGAGACCATTGTTGCCGAACGCGCGTAATCAAACGAATGCGCGGATCTCTTCCCCGCGTGAGCGCGCGGAAATTCAAACCGAGATTTGATTTGTAACACACTTCCGTAGCCTCATTGCGGCATTTATCCAACTTTCAACCTCTATATATTTTCGTAATCAGACGCCCCGAAAACATTTGAAACGACACCCGTCACGATAATATGTTACCTCTTTTTTGTTTCTTTGAAAATGTTCAAATTTTTCGATTTCAGACGCCGCCATTTTGAAATGTGTGGCCGTGAGCCTTTTATAATCGTTTGTCAGCCTTGGGCACTCAAAACACTTCAAATGTGTGAAAAAAGTAGACATCTACAACGTTTATTACGCGAGGAATGAGGAAAAGGGCGTTTTGCCCCTGAAGGAAGGCAACCATGCCTAAATAAGGGGTCTGCAGGGGGTGGGACCGTGGCAACATTTCTCATATCGAAGAATAGGGTCTAAGGAACAATTTAAGCCATGTGTCACCTTTTGAACATGAAATGCAAGGTGGGGTCTATTCCTGCAGGTTACCGTCCGGACTAAAACCACCTTCTCTTCCAGGGTACCGATTCCAGCCAGGCAAATCAGAAACGAACGAGGAAAAAATGTTGATAACATAAATATGGACTTGGCAACAATTCTCGAATGGGGAACCAATAACTTGGTAGATTTCAATGAAAATAAAACACAGGGATGCCTTTTATGTGGAAAAACCCATCTCACTGTGCCCAACATAAGCTTGTTAGGAGTAATAACCATACCTTTGCTAAAATGGCATCCCAGAAACTTGGTCTTCTTTTACGGGCCAGGAGCTATTTCACTTCCAGTCAGCTGCTTCTGATCTATGGAGGCACAGATCCGACCTGTCCTGGAATATTGTTTCCATATTTGGAAACTGTTGGATTCTGTCTAAAAAAGGGCAATTCGTCTCGTGGGTGATGCCTCGCTCACAAACTCACTCACTTCTATATCAACCATTGTTCCTCTCCCTGCGAGATTAACCCGTCGAGTTGAGGCTTCGCACCCCTTCGTGGTCACTTTGGAGAACTGCAGAACATCTTTTTCCAAAGACTCGTTCATCCAACAAACAGCGAGGCTCTGGAGCACATTGCCAAGGCAGATGTTCCCCGAGGCATATAACCTCTAGAAATTCAAGAAGAACACCAATTTATACTTCATTTCTGTTGGTTCTCACGATGTTTTCTAAACATCACAGGATATTTCGTTTCATGGGAACCAGAACATAAAAAAAAACGAAAATAAAAGATACACACCTGGCGTTTGGTACATTCCTCCCGACTCACCCTGTACAGGGTGTTTCCTAAGTACGTGTAGAATATCCAGGAGCATGTTGCTGACGTCAAAATAAGAAGAAAAGTTTGTATAAATATATGTCAGAAAGTTATTCGTTTCTGAGATACAGAGCGTCAAAGTTGAATTCTTATTTTCGTTTTTTGTTAATAAATTCCAAAATAATTGTGATTTCGGAATAAAATTTGGTTTTTAGTGGTATTTTTCAATGACAATATTAAATTTTATGTTAGTTTGTCTCTATCGTGTGGTTGGCGCCACCTACATGTCTTTTGAGTCTTTTGAAAAGTTATAGCTTTTTGTGCGTACCTGTATAACGTATCATTGTAAAAAAATAGATGTGTAGAACACTTTTGTGTAAAAAAATATATTCTTGTTAGATGTCGCTGCGAGCAACTGTTTTCGAGTTATTGGGATTCGAAATAATCGATGCATTCGAATTATTTCCATGTGGCTCGTAAATCGCCTCTAGTGAATAGCAGAAAAGATACACCAGTGCAGTTTTCTTCTCTCATTCAATATTCTTCTTCATTCAACATTGGAATATGGGCAAAATAGATTCTCACTTATTTGTACCTGCTTTTTTGAACTCTTCCAAAAAGAATTCAACTTTGACACTCTGTATCTCAGGAACGGATAACTTTCGGACATATGTTTATACGAACTTTTCTTCCTTTTCAGACGTCAGCAACATGCTCCTGAATTTTCTACACGTACTCAAGAAACACCCTGCATATGGTTAATTCACGAATACCTTCATCTCATACTAGAAATTGAACGTTCATGCCTGATGTGCAGGCAGACTCGCTCTTGACTAATTTTTCGTTACACAATAGAACGTGTTAATCTATCAAAATCTCTCGAAGCAACTTGAAAGCTCTCATCGGATTGTTACAGTTAATTCCTTCTTTAGGATGTAATATATCCAAAAGTATTACTCAGTTATTGGTTGAATAATGAAATGGTGAGCTCCGGCTATTTAGGGGGTGGATTCGTGATTACACTTATCTTTTTACCTGTGATGTGGGATTGAGCGCCAGACAATTGGCCAAGCTCACCTAAAAGTACTTTACCTCATCAGAATTGTCACCTAGGGGCATATATAAAAAAAACAACAAAGTAACACCTCAGTAATGACTTTTAATAATAGTAGTTTCAAGAGTGCAGAGTAGGTACACCAAAGTGCATTAAAACAAAATAATAATATATTGATAAGACATCAATCCTTCAATCAACTATAAGAGAGAGTGAGCATACTAATGATTAATGATGGATTAATTTAACATGATGGTCAAATATATAAATTGCAAGTTATGCACCAATATGACTAGAAGAGTGCATATGGTGGTGTATAAAACAAAAAAAAATTGGAACACTGAATTCAGCTCAAAATAGGGGTAACTGCGCAGTCACTTACAACAGGTAGTGAATACTATAAGGTAAGTAGCTTAATAGTTAAAAGAAACATTATCAGGTGAGATGAGAAGTAAAACGCCATGCGAAATTTTTATTGTGTCCCTAACCAAGTAGTGGTACTTAGCTGGAATTCAGGTGTACTTGAGTACACTATGCAGCAAACTCCATATAGGGCCAAAGCAGTCTGAACCCTACAGTCCTGGCAAAGATCCCATAATTGTACTTCAAAATAATCAGCAGCCAAAAGTAGTGGCAGCAGTTTCGCTTTGGCAGCTACACTACTATGTTAGTGGCAGCCACAGCACCTCCATATAGATGTGTCCCCCTTCGAGACTACTCGATTTTCAACAGTCAAGATGTGGACCAGCAATTTTACTTGGTAGGTATAGTACCCCCACGAAGAGCCTAAGTAATATAAAGAAAACCCCATTTGTGAATCAAGCATGACAGAAAAACAAAAGAAAAACAAAAGAAAAGCCAGGAAGCTAACATACCCAAGATGGCAGGTGGGCTCACGAAAGTGGTCGGCCTTCGGCTTTCTTTTCCATCAGCGGAGTTATCAACAAGACGGCCACACGGCACACAAAAGCTTCTAACACATATCCCCTGATGAAATTCACAATCGAATTAATTAATCCCCTTTTTGCCTAAGGGTGCTCCCATGAGCAAAATTCCGACGTGACGACGAAATGAAAATACCTTCATCGGCCGAATAAAATTGTCTGGACCCCTCATTTTTGGTGCCGGTCGCTTTTATAGTGCACCACCACTCCAAGCACAATACCTGGTCTGATTGGTACCTCACTAAAACCAAGCGCCGCGCTAGTACCTCATTGGTCTACTTATAAATTGACAGACGATATTACTCATTATTGGTCAATCCAACCAGTTCCCAAAAACGAATCGACAACTGTAGGAACCAAAACTCTAGGTTCACAACAATAAAATTCCCTACTTGACAGATCAGAAAAATACATGATCAATTCGGTAAACGAAGTCATGCAAAACGTAATTTATGGCATCTGCACTCTCGAGATAACAATACCTATCTAATAAAACCCAAATTATATTAAACAAACCCCCCCTTAACGATGTACAACTATGTACGAGATTCTACTGATTCTAGTGGGTTCGAAACTCCCCTAGATTCTTACACTAAACTTTGTCACTAGATAATATAAGTTGGCAGCGGTGAACAATCCGATCTATCCCAACGATTGACCGATACTAATATTAATTAACCTACAATGTTATTATTATTGAATGTCAGTGAGAAGAATGGTTTTATTTCGCAAAATCCCAATGATTGCTAGAAAGAAGGTAAGAATATCGCCCGATAGGAACTCGACACCTACTAATAATTTTGTTGATTTTCAGCGGACGACGGTCAACCCAGTTACAGCCAACTACTCGGCAATGGTATCCGCAGACCCCGAGACAAATCGCATTGTTTACCTACCGAAAAATACGAAAATAGCTGAAACAGCTTCGAAGTGAACGATCGCTCTATATTTTGAATATTCTGCAGTGTAGTGTGTGTTAAATGAATGCAGTGAACCTGTGACGAAAGTGACCTTCATCGATAGGGCAGCTATGTGTGTGAGGGTGAAAATGTTTGCAGGAATTCACAACCGATCAAGGATCTACTAGTTCGCAGGTGATGTTAAAAGCTATTCCTATTGATAACCATTATAGTGGGTACTCTCTGTATACAGGGCGAGAACAAAATAAATGTATCAACTCCCCCCCCACTAAACAAAAAGGTTGAATGACCTTTAATCTGCACTGTCTAATCTGATGGATGCGGCCGAAGATCATTGACGTGGTAGACTCCAATCAACTTACCATTAAGATCTTCTAACTCATAACTACAAGTACCTAATTTTTTCCTGATCACACATGGTCCAACGTACTTAGCGGCTAATTTAGCATTAAAATGGTCAACTTTACTGGACTGAACATGATTCTTCCGCCATACCTGACTTCCGACTCGATAATGAACTTCCCTACGTCGTGAATTATATCTCTGACTACTCTTCTCATAAGCTTTCTTCAACCGAACCTTTATGTCCTTGAAAATCTTATCAAACCCTGAATCTCGCACAATTCTTGAATCTGTTCTATCTACACTTACATCTATTTCCCGATTTAAATCTAAAACCTTATGAAAATTCCCATTACCAATATATTCCCTACCAAAATTCACATAATAAGGAGTATAACCGAGCACTTCATGAATTTGCGTCCTAATGGCACAAGAGACATACGGAAGATATGAATCCCACTGACGGTGGTTCTCTTGAACATAGCATGACAACATAGTCTTGACGACTCGATTAACCCTTTCTGTTGGATTATTCTGTGGATGATATACTGCATTATACATGATATTTACATTAAAATCTTTACATAATTTTTGAAATTGTTTACTTTTAAACTGTACCCCATTATCTACAATCATATATTTACAAACGCCAAATAAGAGAAAAACATTATCTTCTAACTGTCTACAAACAGATGCAGCTGTTGCTGATCTCAATGGAAAAGTTAGAACAAATTTCGAAAAATAATCACATACGACTAAAATATGGTTAAAGCCACGCGAACTCCGCGGTAAAGGTCCTATAATATCACAACTCATCAGCTCAAAAGGTCTTGAAATCTGTGGGCGAGTACCCATATTTCCAACCGGTTTCTGCTGAACAGCTTTATTTCCTATACATGTTACACAACGATTCACATAATGAGTGACGTCACTCCGCATCTTGGGCCAATAGTAACGAAGACAAGCCTTTTCGTAAGTCTTGAATATCCCTGGATGGGCTGCTAATTTGGAGCTATGAACTTCTTTCAAAATCTCTTGACGATAGTTTTTCGGTACTACTAATTTCCAATAATCAGACTCGTCACTGAGTTCAGGAATCTTACATTTCACATATTTAAACAGGTATCCTCCCTGTATTCGCCAACAAGAAAACTTCAAAGGGTCACTCTGGATATTCGCCTTCAATTTCTGATACCATCGATCATTTACGTCCAAAAAAGTGTGTCCAAAAGTATTTAAGGGTGGGTCCTCAATCAGAGTATCAATATTTGGCACAGTCCTCGATAACATATCTGGCACTACGTGATCACGACCTTTTCTATGTATCACCCGGAAATTATATTGTTGCAGCTTAAGGGCCCAACGACACAGCCTTCCGTGTGGATTTTTTACATTATCCAGCCAAACTAAACTATGATGGTCAGTCTCAACGGTAAATTCGGATCCCTCTAAATATGGTCGCAATTTTTCTAAGGCAAAAAGCACGGCTAACAATTCACGTTCCGTAGTAGTATACATCTTTTCTTGA